TTAATCAAAGCTAAACTAACATTATAAGAAAAATCAACTGGGTGATTTGTATAGAAGTTAACTATTTAAGCTTCTTTAAACTCATTTTTTTTTTTTAGCAAAATGAATATTAAAATACTGACAGATCCTTCCTCCTTAATTGTTTTAGTTTTCTACATAATATTTGATGAAATGGGTGAAATATATACAGAGTAATGCCCGATTTCTTAAACAGTGTAAGCTTAGGATATCATATTGTTAGTTACCTAGACACACATGGATTTCATAAACGCATCTGACGTGGTTCTGTGTATGGCTAGGATCCCGTATGGGATCCTAGCCATACACAACCGCGTCAGATGCATTTATGAAATAAATTTGTGTCTAGCTAACTAACAATATGGTATCCTAGGTTTACACTGTTTAAGAAATCGGGCTTTAGATGAAGCCCTACTAACGCTTTTTGTGATTTTGGTTGCAGCCATACTGGTATTCAGCAAAATTTGGCATCATGATGGAAATACTTTACTGCTATCCTGATTGTCATTAACTTCTGTAAGATTTATCAGAATCCTTCTACGGCAGAAGATCATTTTCCACTTACCTTATGGATGACCCATGCAATTCTTTATCCCCAAGGAGCTAGGAGGGGTTATCTAGGTATGTTAGTTTGGTTTAAAGTTAAAGTTAACGTTTGCGGTTTTAGCTCTCCTATCAGAGGCATCGCCCCTGCTCTGGTGGGCGTCAGCCGGTGCAAGCCCCAACCCCCCACTGTGGTGTCCAATCACAGCAGTAACCTTCCCAGTAAACAGCTTAAACTCTCGGTCCTGAACGGGAACCGATCTGTAGACCTCGCGAATGCGAGACCAGCGCGTTACCACTGTACTAGCCACAAGGCTAGTACAGTGTCTAGTTTATGGTGATTGTGTGCTCTGACTCACCCATCCTCTTTACAAGGGGGATTACGGTCATTGTATATGTTTGCCTAGTGATAAACATACCTAAATAGTGAGAGACGCAAGCATCTCATGTGTGAAATCTTTTTCATAATAACCCATCTTAACACAGCATTAAATTCTGACTGAAATCTCAAAACACATTCATTAACCTATTACCTTCCTTTTGCTTTGGCTAACCTCATTTAGTTTTATATATTTGATCAACAATCACATGGGGAAAAAAGTTCCACTGTGAATAAATTTTTTGCTGCTTCCCTCAAAAAGATGTTTTTTTTTTTATTTTCTCTAACCTAATTCTTATTGCAAAACGGATATTCTAATAGAAATCATTACCAAGTTAGGCTATCATAGTTTTTGTTTGTGACAGAGTTCAAACCATATCACTGTGTATGTAATTGTAATTTTTTTAATGATTCTTTCAACACTATCATATTTCACTAAAAACGACGAGGCGTTATTATACTCCGGCCATCTTCACCTCTGTCATCCGCAGCTTGGCTTGAAGAAATCTTAGGAGGACAGGATTTGTAGTCCTTTGCTCTCCTATCCCATTTATAGTCCAATCTCACATGTTGGGTATGTGAGTGAAGTGATTCACCCCAAACATATTTTATTGTTAGATTTTGTTGTTACCTTTCCTTAAGCTGCCTTGCCGAACAGCCTCAAGTCCCTAAGGAAGACCAAAGCCGACTTCTGGCTTTCCCAAAGTGGTTCCAGGGAGTGTAAGTTGTTGTTGTTGTTCCCTAAGCTACTGGCCAAACATCTGAGTCCCTTAGGAAGGTCAAAACCAATCTTGGGCTTTCTCTTAGAGCTGTCAGGGAGTGGATGTTGTGTTGTTGGCATATGTGGGTGTATGCTTATTGTAAGAGTTGACTAAAAGAGATATGGGATGAAATGACTGACAGTTCACTTTTTTCTTGCAACAAAACGGATTATAGGATTAGAATTCACAGGGCATGTTAAACGATGGTACGTCATTTTGTTGTTGATGGACTCCACCTTGCTTGAAGCTTCAGCATGATATGGCATCGCATTGAAAGAAACTGCCACTGTATTACTGACAGTTATTATTTTTTTTTCAGAATACCTGAAGCATTCCATAAAGCATTATGTTTTTGACTGTGTCATCAAGAGAATTCCATAGAGTTCTGAAATGGGAGACAATATCTTTCAAAATCTCATGTTTGTCATCACGTCCAAATTAAAAGTCGAATCCTTCTTTTAAACCTTGTACACTTTGGTAAGTATCATTATGTTGTACATATTCATCCACATTCCTTTAATGTGGGAAAGATATATCGGTGTGTACTGTATGGAGTTTCCTCCATACAAGATTTTTTATCTAAAACTTGTATATGCTTATGGTAAGAGGATCATTATCTAATATTTATTCAATATTACCAAGCCAGGGCATTATGCAATGCATAGTTTGTTTTGGCAGTGTCTATACAAAGCAAGTAAGGAATTATTGTCAGTGTACTTAGATGTGATCGGTTTTACGTCACGGACTCCCTTTTTTTATAAGGGGTACGACGGTGCCTTGGTTTGGAGATACGTGATGTGCACACCAATGCCCTTTCTAGCTGCAATCACAAAAACTAACCAAGCAAAAGGCATCTCCTACTACACAGATGAAACTTTCAACACAAGTATCCCTGCAACTGGAACAGCAGTCTACTTGGAACATTTTACAGCTTCCTGGAAACTTTGATTCCTGCTCCACTCTGCAAACCGAGTTATATGCCATTAAAGTGGCTTTGCAAAACTCAATGGACAAAGGACAAGGACCTGTAACCATACACACCGACTCCCAATCCTCTGTTCAAGCACTACAACAGCAAAAGTTCAAAGAAAGCATCAACTTAATCAGCTCGGTCCAAACACTGCTAGTGCAACATCAAGAACAAGGAAGACCGATAACAATCAACTGGATACCCAGCCACATCAACATCCCAGGAAACGACAAGGTAGATCAACTTGGCAAGGATGCTATCTTATGCCACAGCATACAGCACTCTATACAACCCAGCCTACAGCAATACACATAAAAAACCAAGCAGGCACTACAAAAAACAAAGCAGGAAAACCACAACTACTGGGTTAACAAAAGCTCCTACTCTGCCACATGGTACATGGAAGCAAAAAAAACTTGAACCCTCACCTGTATCCAAGTACACCCCAAGGAGTCTGGCTGTCACAATAGCTAGGCTCCGGCTAGGCTACAAATGCTGCTGGAAAATTATTGAGAAACCCAGAAAAGAGTGCACACACTGTGGCAAGACAATGGATAGGGCCCTGCTGCATTATCTATTAGAATGTCCAAAGACAAACAACTTAAGGAACGGACTAAACATGGATCCACAACACCCCAATGCGACAGATCATGCAGCCAAAATAGTAAAGAAACTATTTGACAACCTGGACACCCATCTCACCACCTTGAAAACTTTCGAACCACCAAGGTGATAAAACAACCTAAGTGTTGTAACCTCTAACCTACGGGCTGTCCTTTGGACAAGGGCCCGTGCTAACACAAGGTTGGCTTTAATCTCAAACAACAACAACAGCCCCTTCTAACCTCAGACCGTGGCGGGCCGAAAACTGTGTACCTGACGACTCAGTCGCGAGGATTACCACTTTGCCATAGTAACCATTGTTATTGTAGTATATTACTTTTGTTTATAAATTATTATTTTTTTCATTATAATAACTTGTTCTCTTGAAGCCAAGAGGATGGCCACAATAAAAAGTGGTGGGTGAAAATGAGAGTCCATTCCATCATTATGGTATTGTTCCAGTTTGCTGATTCCTATATTGCTGACACATATTCTAAATTTTTTAATAGTGCTTTACACACAGGTGCCTGCTGGGATGGACTTAGGCTAGGCTGGTTTAGGTGGGTGATAGTTACATTGAATATGAGTCGGCAAAAAGGACTCGGCAAAATAGGAATTGGCAATTTAGGAATCGGCAGTCTGGTACTAAATCAACATCATATACTGCACAGCCCTACCCCCTTGAACCCGATGTGCTATGTTCAGAATAGAATACAGAAGGATGTGCTTTATTCCAGTGTTACTTTATTTGAATATTGCATCAGGCCGAAAATTGAGTTATTTCTCTTCAAGATAATGTTTATCATCTTTAATATTAATGGAGATGGAATACTACCTAGCAATACCTTCCCCCACATAGATTTTTATTCTTGATGCAGAATACCTGATGGAAGGGGTGTAGTAATTACCTAATTGTGCTTGCGTGAAAGAGCCCTATGCTCGTAACTCCCCGTATCCTGATCGGTTCCATTTTTATACTCAGTGATACTTATCATACTTGTCCTTAAAACTATGAATTCAGTTAGTATTAACTGCCCCCTTGCTAAGCGAATTCCAATCATTAACTAAAAAAGTACTTCCTGATATCCATGCTGGCCTCATTTGGAGCTGTCAATATGTTAGGAAAAAATATTGGATTAACGGACACTTTCGTTTATTTCCACGTCTCACCGTATCAAAATGCTTTCAGGAATGGTAGTATATTCTGCTAGTATTCACAGAATGCCAAACTGATCTCAAGTAATTCTTCGATATCTAGAGCTCATAATGATCTCTACCAATCAACACATATGGTTAACAACATCTCCTTGTAAGTATTCTCCCTTTTTTATTATTATTATTGTTGTTGTTGTAAGTTATGTCAACGTGGGATAAGTTGTAAATATCCACCATGGATGTACAAGTCAATTTAGGTTAATATGATATTGGTACCATTTCAGAGTAAAGGTGGACATAGTATTATTTATTTATTAATGTGCTGTACGTTAGAAAAAAATAGGAATCATATTAATCTCTGATAATGTTGTTTATATTCTTACAAAAATTTATTGAAAAAACTTACAAATTATGTAATTATTTGTGTATTGCCGAGAATTCGTATGAGTATATCTTAAAAAATTACATATTTTTCTTAAATGTTAGATAATAAAAAAGATAAATACGCATGAGTTGTTGAATAAAATTAAATGTTAAATGTCAGGTAATTTTAGTATCTTACCTAGGTATTTGCTTTGTGGCCGAGTGGTAACTCTCTCGACTTTGATTTGTTGGATCGTGGGTTCGAGGCCCACCAGGGCCTGGGGTTAGAAAATGCATTCTCTCAGAGTAACGGTCGCACTTACCAAAACCAAAGTCTTTCCCAATAAGGCACCGTCGTAGCAATGAATAGTAAAGTGAGTCCGTGACGTAAAACCGATCACATATATAGTATCGCTTTAGAGGACCACAGTAGCATGGTGGCTAGACTACTCAGCCCAAGAATTGACAGACCCTCGATTGAGGCCGCCAGGAAGCGTTAGAATAGGCAGCAAGCCTTCATTTCCTTGCCCCACGCTGTGTCTACCCCTGTAATTTGGATTAATAGTGACACAAAATGTAAACACATAGGTATATGCTTTGCATGTTTAAAAATGCTGTTTCAGGATGAATACAAAGGTTGTTAACGAAGGTTCATGAACGTCGTGACAGGAGATCCAAGTAGGAGGAATGACAGAGCCAAACGACAGGACGCCATGTTTATTTTCTTCTCTATCTCACATTAAGCCATGTTATAACACAAGATAAACTCCGATGTATTCAGCAGCTTCAAATATCCATACAGCTTTCTCAAGAGAGAGAGAGAGAGAGAGAAGTATGCAACTTCCTCTTATCGAGACTCACTGACAACTGGAAGAGGAAGACTTCTCATGACGTTATGTTTACTTTTCAAGGATGACTGATACACAGACTGATAGAAAGACTTCTCTCTCTTTACATAATAAACAACGCGAGTCAATTTAAAGTCTAAAGTTACGGTATCTCAAAATATACCTCTGCTGTTATTAACTCTCAAGAAAACTCTTGCTAAACTCAAAACATATATATGAAATAATTAAAAGGCTCACTAAATCATTGGGAGAGCAAATACAAATTAAAATAAATAAACCAATCAGAGTGTATACATTCCTTAATCATAGAAAGCAATTACAATTATATAACTACTCATTACTAAACAATACATTATAAGGGCTAGTTATGTAAATACAAAATGTCTATTTCCTTCCTAACACACTCCCCATCATAGGAGTACAGACTCCTATTAATCAAGTACAGTAACCTATACACACATACAGAACTGTACCGGTATGAAATTTCACATCACTTTGCCCTCCAACAGATATACAACATATATAGATACTGGTACTGAAGTACACTGTACAGTACCTTACAGACTCATACTACTGTACATACAGTACTCACAAATCAAGTTTGAGGAGCCTTAATCTTTCTACCTGAATGTGTATGAATGTCATTAGATACATCAGGCTGAGAGTAAGAGTGGTCAATTTCCTGGTCAGGAGAAGGACTGGCTTGAACAGACGTATCAGAAAGAGGAAGAGGCTGATCAACTTTAGCATCATTGGTATACTCAACACTTGATGTTTCTAAATCATGAAGTCTTTGAATTGGCCTTTTCAAAATCCCCTTAGAAGTTCTCACATTTACACTTCTAATAACTCCATCCCGACCAGGAGGCCACTGTAATCTTGGAAGGTTGTCTTCTTTAACTAAAACTAAATCACCCTTCTTAATGTTACGTTTTGCAGTAAATCCTTTAACCACAGGAGGCAGATTAGTAATATAGTCCTTAGTCCACAACTTCCAGAATTAATCTAAGGTTTGATTTCTTATAATTTCTCTTTCCTTTAAATCTTGAGAAGTGACAGGCATACAAGGAGGTTTAGGGTCTACCTGAGTATGAGTGCTAGCACTTCTGCCAATGAGAAATTGAGAAGGATACAAGGGGTGAGCCTTGTCCATTTCATCACCAACATAAGTAAGGGGTCTGAAATTTACACAAGCTTCAATTTCATGCAATAAAGTCTCTAGTTCAGTTCTGGAGACACACTTAATGCCTAATGTTTTCCTGATGGCATACTTAACTGATCTTAATAGCCGCTCCCACCAGCCTCCCCACCATGGAGAACGGGGGACTATAAATTTCCACCGTGGGTCCAGGTGACCGTAATCCTTATGTAATTGGCCTGCACAAGCAACAAAGGTTTTGGCATTGTCTGAATATATTATTGATGGCAATCCTCTTCTAGCAATAAATATACATATGGCGTGCTTGCAGTCATCCACACTCATTGAGTCAGTGAGCTCTAAATGCACGGCCCTTACTACTGCACATGTGAACAGTAACATATAAAACTACTTAGAAGGGAAATCTGCACAAAACAAGGGGCCTGCAAAATCAACACCTGTCACTGCAAATGGAGGTGCAGCCTTTACTCTGAATTCTGGAAGAGGTGCCACAATCTGACTGCACGCTCTAGAATCATGTCTTTTGCATTTTACACATTCCTTAGTAACTGACTTGGCCATCCTTCTTCTATAATCCAAAAATTCTCTCTCAAGGTAGACACAATTGTAGAGATACCTGCATGCTTAAGAAAATGGTGTTGAAACTGGACCAACAGCCTTGCTAAGTGACACTTGGGAATAATTACTGGGTGCTTACTCTCGAAACTTAAATTGGCATTCTCATGTCTCCCCTTGATTCTCAACAAACCTTTGTCATCCAAAAAAGGGTCTAGGGTACTCAACTTTGATCCTTTAGGTAAAGCCTGTTCATTTAGCAATGCGCTAATCTCATTTGGATACATCTGTCTCTGTACCTGATAAAGCATCTTGAATTCAGCCTCTGACAGTTCTGTTGTGGAGAGTGGACCAATTTTCTTATCATGAGATTTGCAATTGTGGATGAATCTTAGCACCCAAGCAACAACATGCTGAGCTTTACTGAATGTGCCCCACTGCTCAAATTCCAGCACAGGTAAGGTTAGACTGACTGTTGTGTAAACTAAATCTCCAGTGACCCCAGCATCCTCATTAATACAAACAGGTACTGGTACTGATTCTAGAGACATACTGATAGGCTCAGACAGCCAAGATGGTCCATTCATCCACAACTTATTTTATACTATTTGATCTCCCATCATACCTCTGGAGACCAAATCAGCTGGGTTCTCAATACCAGGACAATGATTCCAGCAGCTAGGAGGGGTTAAACTTTGAATTTCTGTCACCCTGTTTGCCACAAAGGTCTTCCACCTATAAGGGTCACCCTTGATCCATGTCAATGCTATTTGTGAATCTGTCCAGCAAAATAGTTTGGTATCCATACAGAGATGAAGGTATTTTTTCACAAAACTTACTAGTATAGCACACAACAGGGCACCCATCAACTTTAATCTTGGCAAAGTTATGGTTTTAATGGGTGCCACTCTAGACTTAGAGGCTACTAATGAAACTTTAGGTGATTCACCATCCACTGCATAGGTATGGATATATACACAGGCACCATAACCCTTCCCTGATGCATCACCAAAGGCATGAAGTTCTACATTATTAAGATTACTCCGTAGCAAATGTGGAAAGTAAGCTCTCTTCATCCTCCAATCCCTTAGACACTCAGCACTCAGAACCCAGTTTTTAAACTTATGCAATAATTCTGGTGTCAACTCATCATCCCACTCTAATCCCAACCTCCATATATCTTGGAAAAGTATCTTACCAAACATAATAAATGGATTAATAAGGCCTAGAGGGTCAAAGATTTTGGCAATCAGACTTAGCATGCTTCTCTTGTTATAATTCAACACAGTTTGGGTGTTGAACTCTAAACCTGCAAAGGAAAACTCATCCGATGAACTACAACACAGTAATCCCAGTACTTTAGTGTCTTCTTCATAATGCAATTGGTCAAGCTTGTCCTTAAAATTAGAGGTTACCATTTTACTGTTTGACACCCATTTAGTCAATGCTATTTGTGAATCTGTCCAGCAAAATAGTTTGGTATCCATACAGAGATGAAGGTATTTCTTCACAAAACTTACTAGTATAGCACACAACAGGGCACCCATCAACTTTAATCTCGGCAAAGTTATGGTTTTAATGGGTGCCACTCTAGACTTAGAGGCAAGGATATTTGTTGCTAAAGCAGCGACAATAGCGTCAGGCCCATTGGCAAGCCGTTCATGACGTCTCTGTACTCTCCTAGGGATGCAAACAGCAAAGGACTCCAGACCGAGGCCCCCCTCCTTGATCCCGGCATTGAAGGACCCAGTCGGGGTGTCCCCGGGCAAATGGAGGTACCTTCGCGTTGCATCCCTTACACAGATGTCTAAGTTTCTCAATTCGTATTGTCTTAGTTCTGCATGGGATGCCGCATGTGTGTACTTGGGAAGCACAACATGTTTAAGGGCCCACAACTTCTGTTGGGGCTTCAGACAGTCAAGGCCCAGTAAACGTATGTGGTTCCTCAATTTGCCCACCATGCGCACAGTTGTCTCACGTATGACCACCCCCGCCTCGGTACCCAGGTACTTATAGGAGTCCCCCGGCTTAATGGAGGACAACCACTTTCCCATGGCCAAGAACGGGCGATGGTCAGTGAGCCAAGTCCTCCTCCGAGGATTCGGCATTATGCCCATGGTGGCACACTTCGGCAGTCCCGGTTCCAATCCAATTTCTCCTGCTTCCTTCAGGAGAGTGTCTATTGCCAGTTGGAGGCCAGCCCTAGATGAAGCTATCAGGGCTATATCATCTGCAAATGCTAGATAGGAAATCCTCTCTCCCATCAGTGAGGCCCCCACCTCTGGCGGTAGACGTTTGAGGGCGTATTGTAAGGTTAAATTAGAGAGATGCGGGGAGAGTGGGTCACCCTGCATTACCCCTCTCGTGATCTTAATACTCTCTCCGAAAATTGTGGTGCTGAGTTTGCTATATACCCTAGCCAGGTACACAGCAGAGTTCCCGAAGAGCCCCGCACTCTTTACAGCCGCGAGCAAGGCCTCATGCCCGACGGAGTCAAATGCCTTCTTGAAATCAATGAAGGCAATATACAGGGGTTGAGGTCTGGACTTTGCCTCATCAACCAAGGAGCGTAGGAGCAAAAGATTGGCACTCACTCCGTCCTCAGCTCTAAACCCCTTTTGCCTTGACTCCGTCGGGAGACGAGAGGCCAGTCTCTTAGCCAGGATCTTATGGAGACCCCTGGTAACGACTGATGTGATTGTTATAGGCCGATAATCC